TGTCGATGTGTTTCTTTGCTTTTGTTATTAATTGCCTTATATAATTGGCTGCTCCCATGTTAGGGGCATAGATATTTACAATTGTTAGATCATCTTGTTCTTTCTTCTTTGACTTTGCTTATGTGGTTTTTGCCATGCAGATGTTTACTTTTGATATAGTCAAATTTATCAGTCTTTTAGGCCTTCTGGGTTGGTGTCATACTTTGAAAGACCTTTCCAGTTGTAATTTTGCATAAACATTGTTTCATAATTTCTTTTGTTCAAAGTTTCATGTTTTATATTTTCAAATATTTAATCCATCAGGATTACAAGATGTGAAGTTTAAATGTTTTTAAGTTTGATATGACCATAAGCTAACACCTTTTACTAAGCAATACATCTTTTCCCCCTACTGATTTAAGATGCCACCTTTTCATATACTAAATTTCCTTATGTATTTGTGTCTATTTCTGGACTTGCTTTTTCAAATTCACTGATGATTTTTCACTCATGAATGCCCCAATTATCTTAATGATTATCAAGTCCAAGTCAGCCTCACTAGATTATGACAATACGCTAGTGAACTCAAACATCCATGTAGCCAAACAGTAAACCTCTACTTGGTTCCCTGCCATGAGGATGTAAATTGCACCTGGCAGAACCTGAAGCTGGCATGGAAAAGAATGCAGTAGGCAAGTCTGGGATGGCATAACAGTCTGGCTAGGCTTGTTGTGCCTCCTATAAAGTTTTAATATATTAGTTACAACTGAAGCAACTGTAGAAAAGAGCTGTTTAATCACCAAGAGTCTGCTGTTAACCTCCAGGAACTGTCTTCCCATACACTGGCCAGATAGGACTGTTAAAAGGGTTTGTGGGGATTACCAGGCTCCCTTCAGCGATCTCCTTCATCAGAACAGTCATTTCTTGTTGCTCTTCTGGAATTCAATTTTGCTTAGAGTTTACTACCTAGGAGGGTTTGAGCAATTCCAGTGGTACATATTTAACACGGCCAAGTAAAACTGGATGAAGGGCAGACTTAGTCCATGCTCTATTCACTTAAAATCGTCCCAACTCTGTGTTCGGGTAAAGTCAATGGGACCGAAGCCACACTTTCCCATTCAGAACTGTTTCTACCTTGGTTTTCTCTGCCACACTATCTCTGGTATCTCTTTTGGATCTTTTAGAGCACTGTAACTCTCTCCGATGGAAATTAATGTGCACTGAGTGCCTGTATGTAGTAATTCTAAGAAGTCTGGCATGCTGCCCTTTGACTACTTCACTCAAAACCTTGCACAGGTCTTCAGGCATAGGGTAACTGCTCCTTGCTATTATGAGCCCTGGGTATTGACCTATTCCTTATTGCTTTTCCTAAGCTCTGTCTACACCTGTGTAAATAGTCCTTTTATTACACAGATTCAGAGTGTTATCTTGTTCCTGCTGTGACCCAGTTCTCATTATAAAAACAGGAAATTATAAGCCTCAGATACTTCAATACTGAAAAAAGCAGTATAAAACCTACATTCTTTGATTCAGCTCTAGCTAATAAAGCATAATATTAAAACGAGAGCCTGCATCCTATAATTAGTAGTTATCAAAGAGGAACACATGGGAGGATAAAAGATTTGTTAATTCTAGTGTGTGAATAGACAGGGCTGTATTTTGTAGAACATTTCAGAATAAATTGAAAAGGTGAAGCTGAAAATGTCTACCGGACATTTCTAGGATATGCTAAGAATATGATATCCAACTTGTGTTGGGGGGAACCCCATTTTATATCAACTCCTATCTGGTTTGTCTCTTATACCTTATAACTTTTTTTTTTTAATTTTAGAAATAATAACCCTCAATTACACTTGTTAAAGTTTTGGGAAATATAATACAGCTAATAGATAAAACTGATGTATGCACAATTTGAATTTAAAATGTTTTCACTGTACTTCAGATTATGAACCAAAATGTATAGAGCCTTATATTTATATAAACATGATATTATCATATATATTGTGGCACATTTTTTCAGCTAAGGAGGATCATTATTACCTGAGTCTGGATGCTGAGAAAACTGTCTCAAAGAAATACCCTGTGCATATTCTCTTAAGTAAAACCAGGCAAGGTGATAAAAGCTCAAAGTGGAAAAAAAAAAATGATCAAGAAGATGAGAAACTTCAGTAACATGAGAGTTTTCAAGAGACTGAAAAAATACAGACTTTCAGTCTAGAAATACTAAAATTTTGAACATTCTATTAATGAAAAGTTTTAAAATTTTTATGGAAAGGTTGCCATGGACTTCATAGATTTCCAGAAATCTGGATTTAGAAGGTATACTTAGGATTCTAAAAGAGAGTTTTTATGCTTAGAGAGAAAAGGAGAAAGGAAGGTAGAGGAGGGAAGGAGGGAGGAGAGAGTACTTGAGCTAAGTAACACCCAATATTTGCACAACCAATAATGGAACACACTGGAAGTAGAAATAGAGTCAAATGAAATTTAGATGACTTTATGATGTTCAGCTCACTAGTGTTTTTAAAAGGGCCATTTGAGACATATACTAAAACTTAATTTTGAGTGATAGAGGACGGTGAAACAATTTTGTAAACTTTCTTTGCTGTTTTATCAAAGACAACACTATGCTAAGATAGTATTCTAGTTCAGGGTAGTGTTTCAAGAAAAATAACAACAAAAAGATTTATGGAGAGCTTACATTACATGCCCCACCCTGTGCCAACTATATTACATGGATTATGTCTTTGGACCTTTGAGGAGCATGGTGTATTGTCCCCATTTCTCAGAGAAACCAAACTGAGGCTTGGAGAGGTTAAGCAATTTTGACCATGTCATACAATGAATGCCTAGTGGAGTCTTGTAAGTAACTGCTCTTGAACATGTTCTCCTGCATTTAAAGCAAGATGTCTTTTGGTGTAAGGTGATACAAAAAGACACACGCATATACACACATGCACATGGCAAATCATTAACAAACTGGGAGATTTTAATATCAGTAGAAATGGCTGTTTATTTAGAACATATGAAAACAATGTCATGTAAGATTATCAGAGGATGAAGATATTGCTGGCCTGAAAATAGATGCATTTGGGCCTGGGTTAAAAATCATTTGACAGATGTTTTAATCTGTCCCTTGCTAGAACTGATGCCAATGCTGAATGCCCAATCAGAAGATGAGTTGGCAGGTAAGACTCCATTCCACAGTCACTGGCTGGCCCTAAGGCATTTTGTGTGACTTGTGAAGACATTACTATGTCACAAAGATTATAGGCAGAGAGACTCAGCAGCAGGAAGAAGCACAGCACATGGGACCGGGGCAGGTGGAGATGACACAGGTGGGGCGATAGCAAGTGGTGTGGCAGGAGACCCGGCCACAGCCTGGGCGCAGGCAGCAGGAGGGGCGGCAGCAGGAGGGGCAGCAGCAGCTGGACCCGCAGCAGCTGGGGCGGCAGCAGGTCGTCCTGCAGCAGGTGGTCTGGCAGCAGGTGGGGCGGCAGCAGCTAGAGATGCAGCAGCTGGGCCTGCAGCACCTGGAGCCACAGCAGGAGGGGCGGCAGCAGCTAGAAATGCAGCAGGAGGGGTGCCAGCAGCTGGACACAGAGCAGCTGGGGCGGCAGCAGGTGGTCCCGCAGCAGGTGGTCTGGCAGCAGCTGGGGCGGCAGCAGGTCTCCTGGCCACAGCCCTGGTCAGAGCAGATGGAGCCACAACAGGAGTCGACCATGGTGTCAGAGGGTGGAGGTTCTGGGTGGGTTTCCAGAAGAATGAGGTTCTCAAGTGTGATCTCTCCCTGCCCTCTGTCACTTTTATACCCTGCTGAGAGCTACTATGACCATGTGCAGGACGCTTCTTGTTGTTTATCCTAATAGAAAATCAGTTAGTTTTAGTAAATTAGATAATTATTTTTATCTGGTAAATATACCTATATATAGAAAAGGCTCCATTTCCTTCTACTGTTGTACTGTGAGCTCTCTGGTTAAAACCAAGTGAATCAGCTCCCTTTATTTCTTCCCTTGTCTGATGTGTCTTCCAAAGTAGTCCCATCCCATGGCACTGTTTCATTGGATTTCACAAGTATTAAATCTTCATTTATGTATTTAACTCCAGGATAGTATATTGAGAATGAATTTTATGATGACTAAATCTGCTGTCAAAGAGGTTAACAACAAGTCATATGAGAATGCTGGTAGGAAAATAGGATGAAAGAGCCATCTTGCGGTGGGGGGCTCCCTTGTGTGCAGTGGAGAATACTGTGATTCCTTTGGATTTTATGGATGGCCAGTGAGGTATGAAGGATCCTAACAAAGTTCCTATCTGTTTTGTCTTATTGAATCTATTCAATTTGAACATTATAATGCAATGATTCATTACTATTACATAGTAAAAAACCCAGTGGCATGAATAGGTCTTTTTAAAAATAATTAAATTATTATGGACATGTTCTTCAGAGATAGGATATCATAAAGGAGTATTTTTTAACCTATTTTAGTGGATGAACATACCCAATAGAATATGTATATTGAATATTTTCTTATATTCTGAGCTTTTGTCTCTCAAAAACTTATGTTTGAGGTATTTTGCTTGATATAAATCATATCTAAGGGGTTAAGCTTTAATCTGTGTCCTGTAGGCACTTGAATAAGACAAACAAGACACTTATGTAGGGGTTTGGCAAGCATGTAGAACATTGTTGATAAATAACAATTATGTATTTAAATCTGTACACTTACAAAATATGAGATAATACTAATAGTTACTATTTCTGAGTGCCTATTGTGTGACAGGAATTGTGAGTCTTCTTTGTTATCTTGTTTATACTTCACAAGGGCTCTAAGAAGTGGTCACAACTTTTCTTAATTCTTCAGACATGAGGTAATTGAGGCTGAGATATATTGAAGTCGTATAGTCAATACAGAAGATGGTTCTTTCTTAGAAGTTTCAAACAGGTGTGAGGAGTAACCCATGTCCTTTCTCATACTATTTTATTTGTGTAAGTGTGCTTTCTCCCTTGTCAATTCAACAAACTCTTGCTCATACGTAAATGTCTAGTCTGGATACCAACTCATCTCTAATGTCTTTCTTGACATCTATCACATTCAAAACGAATCCTTCTTTCCCTTTTTCTCCAAGATATCTGTGCTATAGGGTATCACACTCTATCATAATTGGTTCATATTCCCCCCCAATCCTTCTATATACTGCATGAGGTCAGAGATTGGCTTATTCATATATATAAACATGGTGCCTAGTAACTGATCTGAATGAATGTTAGTTGAGTGAATGTGGAATTTATGGAAAACATAGGGCATTTACTCACCCTTTATCATACTATAGATAATCTAGATGGATGGAGAAAAGAAAAACATTCGGACAGTGGGGATGTGATTGAATGGGGGTTTATTTTTGGCCTCTGTTGGAGTAAATGACTTCTCCGGTTGGTATTTGTAGGATGGTAAAGAAAAATAATAATCCACTGCTAAAATGAGAATGTAAAGATATTCTTGAATTTATGCAAAGAAAGTGGATATTGTATCATCACACAGTTGGGAGAAAGGTGTGAGAGAACATCTAGGCTTTTAAAATATTATTTGGCTGGGGGTGGGTGGAGTGACAGGAAGCAGGAAGAAAGTTTAGGTGGTGGTTGCAGGCTAGGGATGAGAGATGAATGCCTGTCTAGGGTGGTGGCAATGGGAGCAGTAAGGAGGATAGTGATGCAATCGCACTTCAAAGAGAGTCAACCAGGATCACTTACAAAATGGGCAGTAGAGTTGACAGGAGAACTCACTGTTAAAGAGAACTCATAATTTAATATATTTTTAAATTGTATACACATACATTTTGCAATTCTGATAGTGAGAAGATAATCATTTGTAATAAAGAAAATATATTTTAAAATCTCACCAGAAACAAAGTAAAAAGACAAATGACTGAATGACAAAAAAAATACTTGCAATTTATACCAAAGGCAAAGAGCCAATGACCTTAATATATAAAGCATTTCTAAAATTAGACTGGAGAAGAGGAAAAACCTGATGGAAAAGTAAAATGAAGATCTTTCTTCATCATATAGAGATGCCCAGTCTCACACATAGGAATGGAAATGAAATTATACAGGATACAACTTCTCACCTGTGGGACTGTCAAAAACTCAAAATTTGACAATATTGTCTAATAGATTATGTGGAAATAGGCATGCTTATACCTTTCTTACAAAGATTTGACAATAATTAGTGGCATTATTCTTTGACTCAGCTATCCCAATTCTATAAATTATCCAAGGTACTCAGGCAAAACTATAAAAAGATGTCATGCAAGATTATTCATGGCACTGCTATTTGTAAAAACAAAACAAGAGCTAGACACAACCTGGATGTCCTTCAGTAGTGTAGGAGTGAATAAGTTCTGGTGCATCCCCGTGATAGAGTACTATTCAGCTGTAAAAAGGAATAAGGAGTATCTTTATATGCTACAATGAAGTAATCTCCAGGATATATTGTTAAGAGATGATAAAGCAGATGGAGCAAAGTGTCTATAGTATTCTACAATGTGTCTAAACAAATAAGGGAGGGATGTGGGTAGGGGATGGGCTAGATGGCTGAAGGGATTAAGGAAGGCACTTGTTGGGATGAGTTGGGATGGGTGTTATATGTAAGTGATGAATCACTGAATTCTCCTGAAACCAATATTATACTATATGTTAACTAACTAGAATTTAAATGAAAATTTGGAAAAAAAACAAATGCTGATGGGTAGAAAAAAATAAGGGAACCCATATAGAAAATCTATTTGCCTATATTACATGAATTTTTTTAAATAATTGGAGAACAGAGGAGAAAAAAACAAAGGGACTTATATTTCCTGCTGAGGAGTTTAGGGATTGCATTTACCTTTCTGCCTGAAGCGACTAAAAAACTAGACAAAATAAATGAAACAGTGGTTTTTAGACATTGGCTGTCAGGTCAGAACACTGGTACCTTAGGGGAAACAAATGAGGTGATCCCTAGAATTGCCTCAGTTTATTTCTTGAAGAGAGTTTCTGGGGGGTGCAGCCCTGGGAGAGAGAACCAGGTAGAACCTGGTAATCCTCCTGACTTGAGGAGACAGAGTTGGGATGAAGGAGGCCAAGTCAGCAGCAATTCACAGGATAGAGTACCAGAGAAGAGAGAGTTGCACAGAGAACCTCAGAGATCTGCAGAAGGTCCACCTGCAACTACAGCTGAGTACTTATGAGTGAATGTACATGAAGAAACTACTCAAGGGCAGAAAAAGAGCTGCCCTGCCCCACCCTACCTCCATAAAAGACAAAGGGAACAATTCTTGGAGCTGACAAAAGGCCAGAAACAGCACATGCTCCCATGAGCCGGAGTGAAAAACCTTATAATTCAGGGGTCATTGGTTAGAGTATTTAGAATAGTATTGCCTCAGGAGTGGGGCAAATTTTTCCCTAAAGGGTGCTCTGATCCCATCTCACACAGTTTATAAGTAAGTCTTGAAAGGATCAAACTGTTAAATCAACTTAATTGCATCCCAGAACAATCAATTAATTGGATTCCATCAAAAAAATTTTACTTTTCAAAAGATACTGTTTAGACAGTAACCTCTTTGATATCGGCTGTAGCAACTTTTTTTCTAGATTTGTCTTCTGAGGCAAAGGAAACAAAAGCAAAAATGAACTATTGATATTACATCAAAATAAAAAGCTTGTGCACAGTGAAGGAAATGATCAACAAAACTAAAAAGCAACCAACTGAATGGGAGACGATATTTGCAAATGACGTGTCTAATAAAGAATTAGTATTCAGAATATATGAAGAACTTATAAAACTCAACACCCAAAAAGCGAATAAGCCACTTATAAAATGGGCAGAAGACATGAACAGACATTTCTCCAAAGATGACATATAGATGCTCATCATTATTTGCCATCAGGGAAATGCAAATCAAAATTATAATGAGATAGGACCTCACACCTGTCAGCATGGCTACAATCAACAACAGAAGAAACAACAGGTGTTGGTGAGGCGGTGGAGAAAAGGGAATCCTCCCATGCTATTGGTAGGAATGCAAACATTGGGGGGGGGGTGCATCCACTGGGGAAAATGGTATGGAATTTCCTCAGAAAGCTAAGTAGGGGCGTCTGTGTGGCTCAGTCATTAAGCGTCTTCCTCCAGCTCAGGTCATGATCCCAGGGTCCTGGGATCTAGCCCCACTTCAGGCTCCCTGCTCAGCTGGAAGCCTACTTCTCCCTCTCCCACTCCCCCTGCTTGTGATCCCTCTCTCACTGTGTCTCTATCAGATAAATAAAAATTCTAAAAAAAAAAAAAAAAAACTAAAAGTAGAACTACCATATGATCAAGTAATCACACTGCTGGGTCTTCCCTACCCTCCCCCAAATACCAAAACACAAATTCGAAGTGATACATGCATCCCTGTGTTTATAGCAGCATGATTTACAACAGCCCATGTACGGAAGCCCAAGTGTCCGAGTGTCCACCGACAGATGAATGGATAAAGAAAATGGGGTCTCTATCGCCAATGGAAAAGTATTCAGCCACAGAAGACAATGAAATCTTGCCATTGGCAATGACATGAATGGAGCTAGAGAGTATAATGCTAAGTGAATAAATCAGTCAGAGAAAGACAAATACCACATGATTTCACTCTTGGAATTTAAGAAGCAAAACAAATGAGCAAAGGGAAAAAAAAGAAACCAATCAAGAAACA